ACAGAGGGCAGGAAACTTTGTTTTGTTCACTACTAATTCCCAGTATTGAGGGTAGTGCTTGCACATACTAAATGAATGAATGAAATAGCATGTATGTAGCTATTTTTAATTTATTTTCTTTCTCCACACTAGAGTACAAGAACCATGAGAATAGGCTTTATGTATATTTATTACAGTCCACCCTGTTAGCACTGAAGAAAGATGCCATCCAAGAGAGAGTTGTTAAATGAATGAATAAACCAAAAAAAAAAAAAAGTGAAAAAAATTTCTAATGCACACCTGTTTGTCAAAGTAAATTAGAATAATTTGGAGCAATCAAAATATCCTGATACTATTATTTTAGTATTTAAATACAGCAATGCATCACCTAACGACAGGGGTGCATTCTGAGAAATGCTTCATAGGCAATTTCGTCATTATGTGAACACTATAGAGTGAGTGCGCTTACACAACCCTAGCCGGTACAGCCTACTTCCCACCTAGGCTGTATGGTGTAGCCTATTGCTCCCGGGCCACAAGCCTGTGCACCATGTTACTGTACTGATACTGTAGGCAGTTGTAACACCATGGTAAATATTTGTGTATCTGAATATATCTAAATATAGAGAAGGTACAGTAGAAATACTGCATAAAGTATAAAAAAAAAGGTACACATGTATGCACAAGGCACTTGCCATGAATGGAGCTTGCAGGGTTGCAAGTTGCTCTGGGTGAGTCAGTGAGTCAGAGACGAGTGAATGTGAGGCCTGGGACATGACTGTCCACTCCTGTAGGCTTTATCAACACTGTGCACTTCGGCTACGATAAATTTATAAAAACATTTTTCTTTCTTCAATAATAAATTAACCTTACTGTCAAGTTTTACTTTAGAAAGCTTTTAATTTTTTTAAGTTTTTGACTTTTGTGAGGATGACACATAGCTTAAGACACAAACACGTTGTACATGCACAAAAATATTTTCTTTCTTTATATCTTTATTATAAAAGCTTTTTCTTATTTTTCATTTTTTTTCACTTTTTAAACTTTTTTGTTAAAAACTAAGACACAAACACACACATTAGCCTCGGCCTACTCAAGTTCAGGACCATCAATGTCACTGTCTTCCATCTCCACATTTTGTCCCAATAGAAGGTCTTCAGGAGCAATAACACTCATGGAGCTGTCATCTCCTGTAACAATGCCTTCTTCTGAAATACATCTTGAAGGACCTGACTGAAGTTCTTCTGAAGAGGTGTCACTCTTTTCAGAAAAATGTCCAGTGGTTTGCTTCTTTTTTTTTTTATCATAGGTTTGCTTGTAACAGATAACATGCTATGAATAATTCTCTCTAGTAATGAAAACCTTTTGGAGTTGGGGGTCTATGTTTTCAAACTTTTTAATGAGTTTGTTGGAGTCTACAAAAGCTTCTGCTAAACCCTTCACTCTGAATTTTTTGGATTTTTCTCCTATGGTTTCTTTTTCTCTTTCCTCTTCAGCCATTCATTCCTGTTCCAGTTCTAAGAACTCTTCATTAGACAATTTCTCAAGAACCACCTCTAGGAGCTCCTGTGTCATTCTCATCCACACCCAGGTTAAAGTCATTTGCCATCTCAGTCAATTGCAGCCTTGTTGACCTTTGCAGCTTCCTCATCTTTGGCAAAATTTTTGAAGTCATGGAGGAATCTCTTGAGTATCTTTTTCCAGATGCCTTTTATACATTCCTTGGTGACATCACCTCAAGCCCACACAAGGTTTTTTTGATGCAGTCATAGATATAATCCTTCCAGAATTGCATCAGTGTCTTTCTCAGTTGCAGCAATAGACTGGGCAAAGGTACTCCTCAGTTCGTGGGCCTTAAAAGTTACCAAAACTCCAGGATACATTGGTTGGATCAAGGAGGTGGTGTTTGGAGAGAGAAACACCACTTTGATATTGTGAAAAAAGATCACCAATAAAAGGAATTTTCCAGGAGCATTATCAATAATAAGCAAAATCTCAAAAAGCATTCTACAAACCACTTCATTTTGCTGGCATAGCAATTCAGGAGGGCATCTTGGAAGAGTAGCTGGGCCATCCAAGATTTCCTATTGCTCCTTGGAGTACACTGGCAGTGTGTGCTTATTAATAGGCTTGAAGGCCTTGGGGTTCTCACTGCGCCAGAGCACAAAGAGTGTCAGTGTGTAGCCCGCAGCATTATCCCCAAGAAAGAATGTTGTCCTGTCCTTAGAAACCTTGAAACCTGGCATTGAGTTGGCCTTCTTATGGATGAGAGTCCTTTCAGACATCTGTTTCCAGAATAGGGAAGTTTCAACCATATTGAATATTTGATCTGGCAAGTGCTTTTCTTCCACAATCAGTGTGTCTAGATTTTCTAAATTTTTTTCACCTGCCTTTACATTACAACTAGAGACTCACCACTCACTTTCACATTATGTAATAAATAATGATTTTTGGATCATTTAAATCACCCAATGCTAGCAGGAAATTCAACCTTGTAGTTAGGTCAAACCTTTTTCCCTTCAATGTCACAAACAAACTCTTTGCTTTGGCAGTTGTCGTCATGGTGCTGAGAGGGATACACTTCTGTGTCCGGTCTTCAATCCAGTTCATTAGGAGTTTCTCCTCATCTGCTATAGGCCATTTTCAATTTTTGTAGTCTTGTTGCTTCTAATGAAGCTGATCCTTTGACAACTTCTGTCACTTTGTTTTTAGTCTTCAAGACCATACCCGTGGTGGGATGGGACATGCCTGACTGGTCAACAATAACCATTACTGATTTTTTTAACTTCATAGTTCTTAATCACTTTTAATTTTGTTTCCAGGTCAATTCCTTGAAGTGACCCCTTACTGGCAATATTAGCAGTGGATTTTGTATGTTTGGGGGCCATGATGAACAAAACAACATGAGATTAAATCAAGCATGAGAGAAAATGATGAAATCAAGAGACAAGGTAAACACAAGATGTATGAGGCTGCTGCCAGTGTAACGTGGCCCACTGTTTTATAGCAAACTTTATTTATCAGTAAAAAGAGTTCACTCTAAAACAGTGATAAAAATACAATATAGTAAATACATTAATCAGCAACTGAGTCATCTATTATCATCAAGTATTATGTACTGTACATAGCTGTATGTGCCATACTTTTATACAACTGACAGTGCAGTAGGTTTCTTTACACCAGCATTGCCACAAACATGTGAGTAATGCCGTGTGCTACAACAGTACAATGGCTATGATGTTACTAGGGGTAGGAATTTTTCAGCTCATTATAATCTTATGGGATCACCATGGTATACATGGTTCATGGTTGACTGAAACATTGTTATGCCACTCATGATGATAATCAGGTATTTCAAAATTATATATTAGGCATCTTACATTATTTCCAAAATATAACACACACATGCTTGATGAGGTGGATGCAATATTTAGAAAAAGCTGCTTATTTAGTTTTTTAAAAAAATGTTTGGGATTTGTTGTAAATAAATAAAAGATTTAGTGTTATATAAGTGTGTCTCAGAAAAGAGCTTAGCAAAGGCAGATGATTTGATATTTATGAATATATTGAGGTAGATTCTTGCTGTCAGTCTTATAGGATGCTTTATTGAACTTAAATTATTTATGTTAGTATTGGAATTTTTATTTTCCAAGAGTAGAATTATAAATTACCTGTCAGCTGTGCTGTTAATGGAGTAAAAAAACTGAGGAAGAGCTGAGGTATATGACCATTTACTGGAGTATAACATGGACCGTTAAGCTTGCATGTGTTCTAACCAAGGACCAATTTAATCATTTTTGAATTCACTTATATTTTTTTATGGCCCAGATACAAGTCAAATGGCTAAAACTCTTAGTTAGAATTCTGAGTTTCCCGATGTGCAAATGCTTATAACCACTTACTCCTCTCTCATTTTAAACACTTAGAGATATTAAGATATAAAGATCAGAATTTTTTAATTTGCTCATTTTGCTTGCTCAGATTTAAACATTTGAACAATAATGTCAGGAAAACATACACAGCCTGCTTATATTTCCAAATCAGAACACCCTAAGTCTGTGAAATACTCTATGGTACCCGATACTTGAAATAATGTTCACTTATGTGTTATCTATTCCTATACTGACCCAAATGCCTTGCAGAGCCCTAATAAACTCAGAAAATCTCTATCTAAGAAACTGAAAAAATACTGAATGATACTTTCTATGGCTAAGGAAACAAGTGCCAAGTCAGGGTACATTCCACAGCACACTGTTTCAATGACAACAAAAGAATTCCAAGCAATGTTTGCAAATACCATTAAATTTAATTTAAGAAGATTACTAAGTTATTTAGTCAATTTGCTGTAAGAGGTTAAGAACCTACTATCAAAAACAGAAACACTTTTAGGACCTTATTAGACAGGGAAAATAATAAATTAATAGCATTAATAGCAACATTTTTTGAACTCTTACCAAATGCTAGGCACTATGTGAAGTATTCTATAAACATTATCCCAGTAAATCCTCAAATATCTCTGAACTACTAGGTAGGATATGAAGGTCTATGAATTACTAGTGTTATTCTTATTTTTCAATTAAGAAAAATCAAGGTAAAACGATATTAAGTAACTTGCTTTAGATAACAGAGATAGTAATAGACAGAGATTTGAGCTCAGGTAGTCCAAATTCAGAGTCTTTGTGCATTTCTTTAATGAGAAATGAACATGGCATAAACAACAACTTATTTACATCAGTGTCAACAAACTTTTTCTGCAAAGGATGAGGTAGTAAATATTTTAGACTTTGTGGATCACTTATAATATCTGCAGCACATTTTCTTTTTAATAACACTTTTAAAATATAAAAACCAATCTTAACTTCCAGGACATACATAAATAGGTTTCAGGCCAAAAGCCTTGATTTAAACAATAACAAGAATAAAAACATTTATGTGGTTGGGATCAGCAAGCAACATATGGGGGGAGGGGGAGGGGGAGAGAGAGAGAGAGAGAGAGAGAGAGAGAGAGAGAGAGAAGATATCCCCAAGATAGATCAGATCAGGGCAACTGTCTCTGAACCTAAGGTTTAGGAAGACAAGTCACCAATATCTGTAAGAATTAGAGACGAAAATAGGAAGGGTTACTGGACAATGACTCACAGGCACTGTCAGCTTGGCTAAAGAAGGTAGCTCTGTCATCAAGTCTGAAATAGAAACTATACCAGACACAGAGGCAAGAAATTAATCTTCCATCCTTGGACTAGAATTTTTTCCAGGGATTCTTTCAGCTTTGCATGTCTTTGTTCAGAGTTCTCAGTAGCTCCAAACAGAAAGAGAAACTTAAGTACCTAATTACAAAATCCTTGTCTTGGACTTCTGCTTAACGTTAAGATGGAGTAACAAGGTCTGGATTTACCTTCCAACTGGACACAATCAAAATCAAACAAAATATATAAAGCAAAAATTTAAAAAAAACACTGGATGTAAAACAACAAAAGACAGTAATTCAGGCAAATTAAAATGACAGTGGTATACTGCTACTTGCCTATCAACATGGTTAAAATTACAAAAGTGACCAGATCATGTGTAGACAAAGATGAGATAGAATTAGAACATTCACGTACTGCTGGTAGGAATGTAAAATGGTCAAACTTTGGAAAACAGTTTGGCATTTTTTTTAAGTAGCTAACCATACATCTACTGAATAACCCAGACATTACACTCTTAAATATTTACCCAAGAGAAGAAAAATACTATGATCATACAAAGAGTTGTACAATAATGTTCATAGCAGCTTTATTTATAATAGTTCTTTTCAAGAACCCAAATGGTATCAACAGGTAAATGGATTAAAAAATTGTGGTATATACATCCAAAAGAATAACACTCAACATTTAAAAGGAATGAAAAATTGATACAAATAACAAGATGGATGAATCTCAAAATAATTATGATAATTGAAGAAATCTAGATGAAAAGAAAAAAGGCATACTGTGTGATTACATTCATATGAAATGCTACAAAATGTAAACACTAAAAGTGGATTGGTGGTTGTCTGGGGAGGGGCATGATGAAACTTAAAAGATGATGGATATGTTCACTATCCTGATTGTGATGAGAATGTGAAGAGAACATATTTACATATGTGAAAACTTATTGATTGTGCACTTTAAATATTTTCAGTTTATTATGTTAATTGTACTTTAATAAAGCTATTAATAAAAGGAAATATCTCTTGTCTTCCTATGCATGATACAACTTTTTTTTTTAAATAAGGTTTTTGCTAGATTATGTGCAACAAAATGGAAAGGCTTCCTTTAAAGTAAAATAACCTGTGAAGGAAGGTAGAAAAGGGGTAGAAGCACTGAAAATAGAAGGAATATTCTTAATTCCATCTATTTCCATCTAGCAATATTTCCATACCTGGCTCAGTTTGTTCTAGAATTGAGTGACATTATTTTTTTTGGTCCTGCATGTCTCTGCATTATAGCATAGTATAGCAAAATTGAGAGAGGTCACCTATAAAAGGTATGCACTTTAGGGGGAAAAAATCAGCAATTTTTCCATCTGAGCCATTTACCCCACGAATCTAACAAACGCTGTTTGGAAGAATTAAAGGTATTATGTTGTCCTTTGGTAGAGAACAGATGAAGAAATAACTCATTCAGGAACTGATACTTAGTTATAGACTAGTTCACTTCTTGAGACATCCCAATTGCCCCAAAATGTGAGGATATGGGGTGTGTGTGTGTGTGTGTGTGTGTGTGTGTGTGTGTGTGTGTGTGTAAGCAGTGGAGTCTGGAGACAGATCACAATTTCAAAGACCAACAAGTGGTAGCTTTTAACGTTGAGAATGCAAGTTTCTTGATTCCAATGTGAACTTTCCCTTTTTTATTTCTTCACATGCCCTGTTTCCCCTGCGTGCCCTCTTTTTTGCCCTCTGCCTGCAGTTGGGCAAGTTCTCCAGGTTCTAGCTTCTATGTGGTTTTAGAAGGGTGAGGGGGAAATGGCACTGAGGTAGAAAGGGTTCCCAAGGCTTGGAACCCTTGGGAAGGGGGATCGAAGGCTGGTCAGGAGGCTTGGGACAAGCTAGATGAAAAAATGTGGACAGACAGGATCAAAGCTGTTGATATAAAGGTGTCAGGCAGCTGGAGCCCCAGTTTCTGCTAAGGAGTTCTCAGTCCGCTAATATCAGTTCTCAGGGCTTTCACAGTTTGCACCAAGGTGAGGACGAATAGCTTAGATTCCAGGAGAGAATTCAAAGGCCGGCTCCTCCTTTTTTCCAAGAGCAATCAAATTCACTGTGCTCTCAGCAAAGTCGCCTTCTTCTGACATATACTGAATGCAGACAAAATGCAGTTGTCGGCGAACACAGCTCCCCTTTGTAAATACGCACAGGTGCCTGAGGGATATTTCTGGGAAACCGCTCCCTGGAGTCTAAACCTGCAGGTAGGGAGGAAAAAAAACCACATAGATTTACTGCCGCACCGCCTGCCTTGTGTCAGGATTTTAGTCTTGTCTTAAAGCTTCAGATCAGTGATGACTGTGGGAAAGAAAACTCAAGAGAAGGGCAAGCCCCTGCGTGAGGCTTTAGGGAAAGAGACTCAGGCATTCCCCCAAGCTTCTCCCTGGCAAGAAGAGGAGACTGTGTGGAATGCTGCAAGAATTTCACTAGTAGATTCAGCAAAGTATAGGACACTTGCAAGTGGGGCATGAGAAAGAATAGGACACTTACACATGGGACATCAGAGGAGACCCGTCCTCCCAGAGCCATGAGTAGCTGGGTTTCCTCAGAGACAATCCTATCCAGAATGGGAAATTGGAATGGGCGCTTGCTTGCTTGATGAATTCCTGTGGGGAGTAAATTTCCGAGTCGGTGGCGGAGTCACCGTAGTCATTTTAGGTTAGATTCACAAAACCAAAAGAACCAGAAGAGATGTTTTACACCCCCTCAATGGTTTTGCAGAAATGTTTACTGAAGCGTGGAGATACTCCATCACTTGTCCATCAAAGGTCATGTGTGTAATTAGTGGCTAAGCTAGGCTAGAAAACAGGTTTTCTGCCTCTCAAGCATTCCTCCACAGCCTACACCTGATTTATTTCTCTGTAAGCTGGTACCCCAGCCCAACTCAGCCATAAACACTCACCAGATCGTCTGTGCTGTTAATTTTCAGCATCTGGGCATCCAAAGACATACAGTTCTCCTGACTTCTTTCCCAATTAAATGGGCTGGAGGAAAATAGGTAACAGTGTTCTTCATGCCAGAGCCAGTCTTGGGGACAAGGACCTAGGAAGTGCAGTATATCTAATGAGTGAATTATGCCCGCGTAAAAATTTTTCTATGATGCTTAGATCAATTCTTCTCTCAGGACTCGCACATGTATACCACCTCTTCTTAATCAGAATTAAACCCAGACTCTGCAAGTATCTCAATAGCCTCAGAGTCTTTATTTCTCTATTTTTTGGAGAAAAAGAAAAAGTATTCTGATTTTACTAAAGTAAATTGAAAAGCAAAGCTGTTAAAAAGTGAGGCTTGAGCTGGGCTGTAATTTTAGAATCTGATCTATTTTTTAAAGTTAAGTTTGAAATAATGGAAGTGAGAGTTGAGGGAATGTTTACTCAACAGCCATTCTGCTATTAAAAAGATATGCTTATGTATTTTAGAACTTCAGGTCTTTGAATAATGCATTTAGACTTAAGTCCCACGCCTCCTGATTTTAGACACATTTTGTATGTAGCCATATGTAGTGGCCATATGTAGGTCATGAGTACCTGAATTATGTTGAGTTTACATTAAGATGTGCCATAAGCATAAAATACACATCTGTTTGAAAACTTAGCATGAAAAGAAGAATGTAAAATATCCCATTAATAATTTTCATGTTGATTAGTGTTGAAAAAAATTTTCAAATATATTGGGTTAATTCAAATGTTATTGAAATTAACCTCATACTTCTTTTTCATTTTTAATGTGTTTACTAGATAATGTTGCATATGTGGCAACTATATTTCTTTTGGACAGAGATCTTCTAGGAAGAACAATATATTGATCCAAAGTGAGCATCTCAATTTCGATAAGATCTCAGAAAACAGGGAGTTTCCTGTAGTGAAATTTCTAGGGAGTTCAAAAAACCAAACTGAGGGCTTAAGCAATAGGCAAAATATGCCAACGTCTATATATTTATGGATATTTTAAAGGACCTCCAAATCCTCGTCCTCCTCCTCCTCCTCTTCCTCTTCATCGTCTTTACCTCTTCCATGTGTTAGTAACACTTGGAAACTCTTTAATAGGAAACAGAACCCTTTGGTCTATGCCATAACCAAAAAAATAAAAATGAAATTCTTGAGAAAAGTAACATTTTAATTTGAACTTGTATTGTGGCATAAAATCATTAGATAATTTTATAATACGAGGATTTATCAAAGAGGAGAACGTAGGAGGGTGCTGAACTATGGAAGAAGAAAGCGAATGAGAAAGAGCACACAAAAAGCCAGGTTAAAAGCAATGAAATCACGTTTTTACTTCTTTATTTGCCTAGTCCCATCATTTTATGTAAAAGGAAAGAATGTACTGGTTTTCTTGGACTAACAGGCAGTCTAGGCAGGTTTTCCAAACTATGACAAAGCGAGAAAGACAAATCTCAACATTGGTATTCAAACTACCTCTGTTTATTTTAATTATTATTTTCATTTCACAAACACAAATATTGTTATGTGCTGAAAACTGTTGGCAATACTTCATATATATTAACTCATTTAATCCTCATAACAACACTGTAAGATAAGTTGCGTTCATTTCCTTTATTTGAGAGATAGAGAAAATGAGAATTGGAACCTAGGTAGTCTAACTCTAGCATCTGTGTGTTTAATGCCTTCTTCACACTACCTCTCAAACTCTGAGTTCTAGGTGATTGAGGAAATATTTCTTGGTGACCCTCAAGACATTTTGATACAGGGTCTTGGGATAAACCTGGAACCTACGATTTGAAACAAGTTACTTGGGTGATAATTTTGTACACTAAAGGTCGAGAACCACTACCAATTCCGGGGCTAAAGGTAAAGTGTGTTACTGTGCAGACCCTGAATCTTTCTAGCTGGACGGCCTCAAACAAACCACATATGGTAACTTCTCAGAGTGTCTCCCTCTTCATATATATACCAAGGACCACACACTTGTTAGTAAGAAAGATAAACTTGTCTCAAACTTGAGAAAACTGGCACTTTTTTTCATGTGGTGTTTTATTTTTAATGTTTTTGAGAATCTTGTTAAATCTGCTTGATGAAAAGCAGTACTTTATTTGATATCACTACTAATTGGTCTTTATCTGACACTGTCAAAGAGTGGAACATGTTACATAGTACATCTGCCAGTAAGAAAACATATCACATACTACTTTTAATTAGTTATACATGCCTGGCATCTCTGGGAGATGGTTCTGAATGGTCCTGATGTACATTTAATTCCACACAACTGATAAAAACAAAACTGTTCTAGGGCCCCACCTGTGAAATAAACCATTGGCTGATATGTGGCTATGTCTACTTATATAGACATTCTTATCCTTGATATACATTCTGCTTATTTTGGAAATTTTAAAAATTCTGTAAATATTAAAAGGATTTATAAACTGTAAAACTTTATACAAAATTGCTTATCATCATTTTACTTACCTGGGTTTCAATTTTTTCATCTATTGGGTCATCGGGAAATTCATGATGTATTTTTCTATGTTTTCCAATGCAAAAATGCATCATGACTTCCCTGATGACCCAATATAAAATAAAAAGATCTGTGATTATCTGTGGATTGTTATTATATAATATTTATTCAAAGAAATTACATTGATGAGATTAAGTGAGGTGTACAGCAAAACGCTGGAGAAATTTCTGTTTATTAGTGATAGTTAGCTATTAATGCTTAGAATAGGGCTCATTCATGCACCTCCAAGAAAGCAATGTACTCCATCTCACACTCTCTAACTCTCCTTATGACTAAATGCATATGCCTGATTTAATTACACACTGTAGGAAGACTAATACAGATAACTTCTGTAATAGCACTGGAGTTCACATTATCCTCTTCTCTTATAGATGTTACTATTTCTGCCTGCCTTTTAGAGTATGAGTCCATTAGACAGCTGAGATCAACTTAATTCTTGGAATTATAAATTGACTTCCTGGGCCCCTCATATTTTCGTCCAATTGGAAGTATCTATCCAACACTTCCAAGCCAGTCTGCCTTCATTGATTCAATCTAAATTGATGTAGTACATGTCTGGAAATAGTGCTATAGAATAAAGCTAATGTAGAGGTAAAGGTTCCAGGGACAAAGGAGGCCCCTTAGGAAAAGAAATTAATGATGAAGATACATCAGAAGGGAAAGAGGTAAGAACATCTAGGAAAAGGGGTAAGGATGGGACAGTTCTTTCAGGATAAAAAATCTTGAAAACTAGAATTTTTTTTAAAAACAGAAGGTGTTTATGAGGAAGGAAAACTTAAATCCACCAAAAGTGGGCTTAACTAAATAACTGTCTCAAGAATTTGGCAGAGGATAGGGTTGAAATGACAGAAATAGAGAATTTCTAGTGTAGGACATAATAAAATGATGTTATAACATTATGTAAATAATGATACACATTATCAGTATGTCAATTTTTGTGCCTAGAGACGTTTCTAAAAAAGAGGTAAGATTAAACAGGGACGTTTTCACTACCCCTCTTCACTCCTCCCTCCCCGATACCTGAAAAATTTGCTGCTTTCTTCAGAGCTTCTTGGAGATTCAGGTTCTGTTGATAAAGTTCCATTTGTTCTTTAGATTTCTCATCCAGTTTCTGGGTAAGTGTTTCTATCATTTCCTTGAGTTCCCTTTGTAACTCTTGGGAAGTTCTTTCCTCTTGCTTCTGGGCTAAAATCTGTCCCTCCAGTATATTTTCCTGGTGAGTCAGGTTTGCTTGTTGTTGTTTTAGAAGATCAGATACCTGGGATACTAAATCATAGTTGAATAAAGACTTCATTTCCAATCCCCAATAAAAATCCCTCCACTGGATTTTGAAGAAATCAAAGAAATGAAACAAATAATCTGACAACAGATAAACTGCTAGAAAATGACCCATATATACTCAAAAATTATGGATTTGAAACGTTTGGATATTCCTGCAATATCATTTTTAATATCAGAAACTGTCATGGACACTTGTGATTTAAAAAGTTATCAAGATTTTACTTGTTACTGAGAGTTACACATAAGTTAAAAGTAATCCTGAGATAAGCATCAGCAGCATAAATAAAATATAGACAATCTAAAATAGTCAGTCACCAACCAGGCTCAATGGCTATTAATAAGAATGTCATTAATGATTTACTTTGTGTATTCATTGCTCTGTGTCTCTGTGTCTCTCTATCCTTTCAGACTTCCTAATTTTATTTAAGAACTGTGATACTCACCACTTTTTTGAGACACCCTCCCACAGAATCATTTTAAGTTACTGTGTCACAAGTCACAAGAGTCTCAAAACTTTTTTTTCCCCCTTTGGCCACAGAATGTTTTAAGAAGGGTGGAGATGAAATGAATGTTGTGAAATCAAGCAGGCAACAAATGTTAATGCTCAAATGTCTCAGTTCTAGAAGCTTGATGGTTCAAATACAAAGCAAACTTCTTGCCTGGAAGGCCAGATTTGACCTTGATATAAAGTGATCAAAGCCTCAGAGAATGACTCAACAGTCACTAGTCACTTCTCCCAATCATTAGGAAAGACCTTAGTGCTAACCGATTGAATAAATAAATGGTTTGTGACCTTAAACAATTGAAAACCAAATAGCACGTTAGAGGCCTTAATAACCTGAATTCTAAATAGCAAAAATAGCTCAGATCTACAACCTAAATACACAGGTGGTTTAGATGGACAATCAACACCATCTTCTTTTCTCCTTGACCACTCTTATCCTTCTTTTCACTTCATTTACTCTCAACATCCTCTCTTTCCTAAATGGCTATACTATAAATTTGAAGTATATTTTGTTTTAAATATTTTATTTATTGAGGCTGTGTTTCTGGTTCTAAGCTTTAAATTGGTATTTAATCATCTCTATTAAAACTCAACTAAAGTAAACAACATTTCCTTTACTTTTGGGTCTCTCAGGTGATCTTGTGGATAAGTAACTTCAAATTATTTTTTTCCTCATTATTCTACGGTCTACACAGGCTCTACCCATGAAGTTATGAAAACAAATCAAAACAAAACTTACCATTCATAATCTTCATTCTATGCCTCCATTTGAGAGACAAGCACAATATACCCACTCAGCTTCCCACTCATTCTAAAAAAAGTTTGCCTGAAATGTATCTCAATCAAGGTTGTTTGTAGGTGTTGAAACCAATTTACAAATGATGTTCATTTTTCCCCCCTCCATCATTTCCCTGTGTCAGCACTTACATTGCATTATCAGAATTATGATGGTCACCAGTAAACCCAGGCAAAGGATCCCTAGAGTCACAGCCACAGGGCACCACCACCGAGATGAAAGAAAGCGAAGACCTAGAGTACCAGAGGACAGGATCAGAAAGTCATAAAAGTAATCAAACAATTCTTTGGATCTTGTCTGTATCTGGCATGTTGCATTACTTACTTCTAGTCCTCCCAAGGACTCTGCAAGTAATTCGTCATCCATATTTACAGAAGAAAAATATGGACAATTAAAGAATTTAAGTAATTTATTCATTGTCACACAATTGACATAATATAAGGCCAGGATTCAATACCAGATATTTGATTTTAAGTATCTGATTCTGAAGTTTATACTTTGTCTACTCCCCACCACTAACGACTTCAAGAAATTCCCAGTTCAGCTTGGTTGGATCAACTTCATCCACAGGGCAAAGAGCCTGAAGTTTTTAATATAGTGTATGCACACACACACACACACACACACACACACACACACACACACACACACAGTGTGTTTTATAAGTAACATACCATAAGTGTGTGTCAGATGTCAAGCAAATATGCTTTAGTCAATCAACTGAGATCGCCTCCAAAAATTACAACATAGTTGTGTGCTATTCAATTTTTATTCCACTAAAATTATATCTTGGAACTGGGGTTATTGACCAAAGAAAACTAGAAATGAGACCTCAATATTCGCTTGACTCATATTAATGTCATGTTCTGTACTTATACCATGTCTGGCCCTGTTGTTACAGAAAAAAATTCACCATTAATATAGAGGCAAATAAATAATGTAGCTCGCAGTTTTATGTATGTCTAATTATGTGTTCCACCTCTTAAAAAGCTCAGATATTTTGGTTTAGCAGGAAAACATTTCAAATACTGTATTTGGACTCCTCATTTTGTAAGAAAAACAAATAAGGCATTAACAATGTTATCCTGTATATGCAAACAAGGAAACTGAAGAGTTCAGTGATTTGCTAAGTTCACACAGATGTTAAAATCCCAACATAGGTAGGTCTTTAATCCAATTGTCAGTAGCTACATGACTTGGAACATTACATCACTCAATATCCAGTATGAATGTGTAATTATCTAAATCTATCAATGGCCAAGCATGTTCACAGAGTTCATATGCGTTCAAGGCACTTCTGTTAAGCTCGGCAGATGATACAAACAAAGTAGAAATTTTGACAGGAAGGAATATGGTTCATTCACTGACTCAAAGTTATTAAGCTCTTGGATGTATGTGGTAAGTTGGCAGAGAAGAAGTGGAAGATATCTGTCTCTTGTGCAAAGAATTGCCTAATCCTATCCTCAGGGGCAAATATCTGTGTAAATCTTTCAACCAACATTTCCCTTGGTCAATATCTACATTCCTTAGGAGTAGATACTATAGGGGATCAAGTATGTTCACCACTTGAATGATAAAACTCCTGAATTTTTAGAAGAAAGTCACAGGATCCACACCTTGCAGGGAAGGCACACACTCCCATTTTCTATAGGCCAAACCTTTGTTCTGTCTTCTTAGTAGATAGAGATCATTCATCCAACTCCTACTCCCACTAGTAATTTTCAAATCAGAAAGCACTTGGATTTTGTGCAGTAGGTGACTATTGTAATCAGGTTCTAAGAGAATTAAGTTGACAATTGTAGTAAAAGTCAGGCACTCAGTATTTACTACATGAATAATAAATGAATGAATAAGCAAATGACTACTGCTAATCTGTAGGTCTACCTATAAATGCCAGTACTATTTTCATATTAAGTTAAGGTAATCAGCTCAAAAGTTAAATCATTCCATGTTCACACTTATTTTTGCTGTTGAGAGAAATTTCTATTTTGTTTGTGGTAACATGACTTGGAATTTCTTTATCCAAATTCTTAACAACATTTGTATGACTTCCCTCCTTTATAATTTGTTCCTTTCTCTCAGAATAGTTGTAAGGTAAAAGACAATTTATCCAGATTGTCTGTGAAGTTAGGATTATGAATTAATTCATACTTAAGCAATTTAACTTACTGTGCATATCAAACAAATTGTAATTTTTCAAAACAGTGGTATACAATAAAACATAATTTATACTAAACCATACTGAATATTATTTAATCTGCTTATAATAATTCATAAAATAGTATCTAGTTTTTGCAATGTCTCAAGGACACTGTTATAAACGTTATCATTGTATATACTGGGTGAATTCGACATTTTCTGAATCTTCTGATGGACTGGATTCTGGACCAATGGGAGGTTGTGATACAATCCTAGCTGTACCACTTGCTAGCTGGATAAAAATAGGTAATTCAGTTAAATCGCCTGCTTCCCAGTTAGTTCTCTGTAAAAGGGAGATAATAGTAGTCCTAATATTCAGGTGTGAAGAGTCAGAGAAATAATGAATGTAAAGTGAATAGCATGGAACATAGCCTATAGTAAATGTTCAATAAAAGTTAGCTATCATCATCTACTACATCATTCATACCAAATTATTTCATTATTTTTCTTCTTCATCATTACCATTATATCCTAGTTGACTTTCTTTTAAATAAAGATGATTAATTCTATAATATTTTCCCATACTCAAGTGTTTTAACTGTCTAGTCCTATGTTCAGTTAACTTACATTTTTAAACTAATCTAGGGAATCTGTCCATGTATACATTCACCCATTCCTACTACCTTTAGCTGTCTCTCCATTTGGCTTATGATCAGGTTGATCCTTCATAGTCTTGCTCTTGAGGTCATCAAAAGTCAATTCCAAATTCATTCCACAAATGAGAAAGTGAAGCAGTCGAGGACTTCTACAAAGTAAAAATCTGTGAGCTCCTGCTGGAGTGTTTAAATAGTTACTGCTATCTAATGGAATGACTCAGTCATTGGTATGAGGAAGGAGAGGCTTTGCTTCATATTTACTGACGCAAATCCTTCAGTTATGTCTGTTGCAGGCAGGGATGATTCTGATAGTATTTCAGGATATTTCACTAAATAATTTATGAAAGAGAAAGCTGTACTTTCCATGAGTATTTGAAGAGAGGGATATGTACACACCTTTCAGATAAGGAAAATGAAACTCAAAGGGGTAAGTCATGCTAAATTTGGGAGAAAGTATGCATTTAGACCAGGTTATTTTATTCCAATGCCCATATCTGTTTGTTTATTTCACTGTAGCTGACTATCTCCATACTGTGTCTTTTGTAAGTCTCACATTTCCCTTTTTAATTTGGACTGCTTTCGTTAACAATAAACTTAGCAATTTTAGGGTTTAATCTCTAGCCATGGTGACCTAGGTAGTTTTAGAACTTAATTGGGGGTTCTATTCATACAGGGGCAGTATAGCATAGCAGCACAGAAAACTTTGGAGCCAGATGGAGCTAGTTTCAAATTTTTCCTTTGCTAGTCCCTTGATCTGTAATCTTGGGGAATTACTTAACACTCTGACCCTATGTCTTTGTCTATAAATGGAGACATTATACTGTCTACTTCATAATGTTGATAATGTTATGGGCATTCAAATGAGGTAGTGGGTAAAAATGCTAAGCTTTATACTAAAAACATAATAAAAACTCAATAAATGATAGTTATTAATATTCCTAGTACTAACCAGCACAGTTGAATTGCCAGTCAAAGAATTTCATTTTATACATGATTGACTTGAGTCACAAAGATTCTTCAGTGGACTCCCCATGAAGAAGCCTATATGTATTCATTGATAGAATTCTTATCTATTTTCCCTTCACATCTTCCTAACCATAAAATAAATATCTCTTTATAGTTATATATGCCTTAAAAAAAAGTCCTTATCTATTTATTAGAGATTTCTTCTGAAGTGTTTATGGGAAAAGTGATAAGATATCTGGGATTTACTCTAAACCTATGCTAGGAAAAAAAGTAACAGTAAGGGAACACATAAAATAACATTCAATAAAATATATAAATAAATAAAATACCAGGAAACTATTAAGAAAAATTACCAGTATTGACAGCTAATCAGAATTTTATTTCCCTCCTCCTCCTTAGGTTTTTTGGTATTCTTTTTTTTCCATGCAGAGTATCTGAGACCAAATTGAAAATAATTTATCTGCCATTTAAAGTTTTACTCTATGACATGCTTTATACATAATAAAAGCTCAGCATGTAACAAATATATCTTAGTCAAATTAGCTTGTAACTAAGCAAAGTTACTTAATCATTCACACCCCATCCCACTTCCACTGACTGAGTGCCAGGAAATAAGGCTGGGTCCATTTCTGAATTCAACATGGTGACTTTCACATAAATAAAATCTCAGGAAAGTTTTTATCAATGACTTAATAAATACTGAAATTATATCACAATGAAGAAGAAACCTTTTTCCCCCACAGTGACTTGGTTATTTTGTATCAATACTCTAGCAGATTAAGATAAGACATATAAATACACTTGTTGATAAAATGGACATGACACATATTTTTTGTGTGCACATCACATCCTAATAACTTTTATAGGTTGTCGCAAGAAGAAGTGTCTCAGAAGGATATGTATGACTATGTAGTTAAAACACTCAAAGATGCACACAGCACCAAAAAGAACTACATTCTTTAGAGAAAACCTAAGATTGTACTGGATCTCTCAGACTTCGCATATTCATCTCCACACTTGACCCACGAGACCCAAGACAGCATAATCACCAACAGTCCTTGAGTCAACACTCATAGGAAGCTTACTAAGCAATCCAGGACCTGGTGATGAGCTCTGCAAATCCTATATTCCCTTCAAATACAATTTATTTATTTTTTCTTTAAAAAATTCCTCTCTATTTAAAATCTACAGGTAGGGTTGACATCATCAATTTATTTACTCTCCTCATTTTATATACCTTAACAGTGCACCGTATTGATTTTCAATTCCATCAATGTATTCCATCTCTCGAACTAAAGTACAAGCTCTTGAAAAGCAAGGGTAGATACCTTTCTGTTAAGAACAGCTCATTTTTTTCCTACCACCCTTGCACACCATGTAAATTGCGTAATATTCTGCAAAGGGTAGACAGCTGATACTTGAGATTCTTAACTATAAAGATAATGACAACACAAGCTGAATTTTTAAAATACAAAGAAATTTAACAAAAACTTACCTCAATATCTTTTGAGGAAGTGGAACTAAAGTCCAAAACATTTCATTGGTTTGCTGAATAGCTCTCTTTTCTATCTGACGCCAGACAAGAGGTCAGCTCATTGTTCTTTCAATTATGCCAGTTAATAAAACACATAGGTGTCATCTGAGACATTATCAATTCAGTATGAACACCTTTCGAAAGGCTTCACTAAGAGACTTTTCAGATTACTAAAGCAGAGACTATCCACTTCATAGAAGACTTTAAAAGTACAGTGTGAGGTAGGGAACACCCACACCAGGGTCACCCTCAAATTTTTTGTTGACTTCCTTCAAACCAGGGGCTCATATTGAGGAGCCACAACATGGAGAGTTTGAAAGTGAGCTCACTCACCGTCTCCTGAGTGATCTGGCTCCTCAGCACAGATTATTTTGCCTTTCACTATTCAAGCCTGATAGAAACAAATAGTTTCCTTTCTTTTTTTATTGTGGTAAAACTTAATATAAAATTTTTACCATTTAGCCATTTTTAGGTGTACATGTCAGTGACATTAAGTGCATTCACGTTTTTGTGCAACTATCACCACCATTTACCTCCAGAACTTTTTCATCTTCTCCAACTGAAACTGGACTCATTAAACAATAACTCCTGTGACAGTTCATTATATGTGTCAACTTGTCTGAGTCAAGGAGTAGACCAACTATTTGGTCAAACATTCTTCTGAGTGTTTCTCTGAGAGTATTTTTGGGTGAGATTAACATTTTAATCAGTAGAGCAGGTTTCCCTCCATAATGTGAACGGATCTCTTCCAATAACTTGAAATCTTCAATGCAACAATAAAACTGACCTCCCTCCAGATAAGAAAAAAATTTTCTGGTGGACAGCAATTGAACCAGTGCTGCATCACTGGCTTTCCTGGGTCTCCAATCTGCCGGCCCACACTGCACATTTAGACTTGCCAGCCTCTATAACTGCGTGAGCCAATTCTTTATAATCAATCTCTCTGTGTGTGTGTGTGTATATATATACATCCTATTGGTTCTGTTTCTCTGGAGGACCCTGAATAATATGACCCCCCCATTCCTTTCTCCTCTCTCTCCCCTGGAAACCACCTTTCTATTCTCTGTCTTTATGAATTTGCTACTCTAGGTACCTTATATTAGTGAAAGCATACAATATTTGTCCTGTTATGTCTGACTTATTTCACTTAGCATAGTGTCTTCAAGGTTCATCTAAGTTGTACCATGTGTCAGAAATTCCTTCCTTTATGAAGCTGAATAATATTCTATTGTATGTATAGACCACATTGTGCTAATCCATTCATCCATTGATGGACATTTGGGTTTCTCCTGTATTTAGAGATCCAGGGAGATAGTTTCTATAATCCTTATGTGGCAGATAGCTGGAGAGACTTGTCAGACTTTAAGTGGTCCTCATTATCCCTGTTTCCTGGTGTTTATACCCTTGTGTTGCTCCCTCCTCTTGAATGTGGGTAGGACTTGTGGCTTGGAGTGTGGCAAAGGTAATAGAATATATGTGATCATGTATATGTGATTACTTATGGTATATTGCCAAACTTGCTAAATTTGTCTCCCTTTTCTTTCTCTCTGGTTAGATTTAAAGAAGAAAGCTTGCATGAATCTCATAGCCACAAAGAAATGAATTCTGCCTAAGGGAGCTTAGAAGAATTCCTCCCCAGCTGAGCCTTCATATGAGAACATAACCTAGCAGACACCTTGATGGCAGCCTTGTGGTACCCTAAGCAGAGGACACAGCTGAGCTCTCCCACATTTCTGACCCACAGACACTGTGAGATAATAAATGCTGCTTGACATTGCTGCTCATATGATTTATGGCAATGTGTTACATGGGACATAAAACTAATAATCCTGTGATAAACTTCATCCTCCTGTTCTGTTAAACTTCCTTAAATCTAATCCTACCACTGACTTTCAATGCTTTTGAGGTCGCCACTCAAACTCAGGCTGCAATCTTGCTTCATACAATAGAGACACTTCCTAGTGGAGTGGTTGCAAGATGGAACTGGTTTCTTCTGACACATTATCTATTTTTTAAACCATGGCTATGGCTTAACTCACTGCTCAGCTCTTTACAACTCATACTTGATGCCTCAGAATAATAATAGTCCTGACCTCTATTTCACTGAGGCACAGAGAGGAAGGGAATCTATGGTGGGTCGCATGATTTAAGCAAGGTCAAAAGGAGACTAATCAAAGGAACCATAAATAAGTAGCTCTTTAGTCCCACTTGTTACAGCTATTGTATAACAATGCCCTGAAGCATAGGTGAAAAGGCCTGTGTACATGTACCCTCCATTGGTTCCACTCCAAGTCCTTAACAACTTGTGTATAAGCTAATGATTCACAAGCTTAATGGAACCACAAGATGGTGTAGGATAGTAATGGGATCATTCCCCTCTACCTCAGCGACCTGCCCTTCTGTTGTGGGCCTTCTTCAGTCTTTCCACCACCATCCTCTTTTTGCTCCTATGGGACTGAACTCAGAGTTACAATTGTATAGGGCATGATCACTTTCATTAGGATACACAAAAAGTTCTGTTTCTCCAGGGAATAACCCAGTGTGTGACAGAGAGAGAAAAAAAATGGCAGTGGTAATTCCAAGAAAGAAAAGTAACAAGGAGGTCATTAACAGAATCCTATTTTGTTCAAACCTGTTAAGGAGCTAGAGGGCAAAAAGTTGATGGCAATCACATGGCAGGAAAGGGCACTGGGAGGAATAAACAGCCATGTTAATTGGCAAACCTGTTCATGCAGGTGAAGTCTGGCATGGCTGGGATAAGAGATGGGGTCAGGATAGCAAGGGGAGCTAGTCAAGATCTGGAATGCTGGGAAAGGTAAATCATGGTCATGGTAATAATGCATATGAGAAGCATGGAGGACGTAGTTATCCACGAAGGTGAAGGCCATTGGTAAAACCGAGTAGAAATCAAGATAATCTTAGTTAACACAAAATGCTTGTTATAGCAAGACAATTATGAACATTTCACACCCATGAACTTATTTCATCTCTATAAGTATATGAAGAAAAATTATTATAGTATTACCCCATTTTATATAGAATGAAACTGAACCAAGAGAGAGATGTACTAATTTGCCTAATATAACACAGCGAGTAAGTGAAAAAGCAAGTAATTTATCTCAGAAAGCCTAGCTGGATTCTTAGCCATGATGCTCTTCTGTCTCTCTGACAAGACAAAGAGAAGGAAAAGGTTAATGATGCTACACATGTACACGGCACTCTGCATGGAACTATTCTAATCACATGCCTTCATGTCTCTGATTGTATTTTCTCTATGAAAACCATCTAGGGCAGGTCAAGCGGACATTGCACTCCTATTTCATGAATGGGAAAATTAAGGACTGTAGAGACTACATAATATTATATCATAACTCAATGAAAGACCCAGATTAGAGTTCAGCTCTCCTTAGAGTCCTATAAAATACCTCCCTCCTCGCCAAGCTTTCTGCTGAAATTTGGAAAATACTGTTCATTCTAACTCCATCATCTTTACATTTAAAAAACTAAAGTAGTGCTTATTTAGTTTTGGAACTGACTGGTTTTAAATCATCTGTGTCATACCAGGCTTTTATCTCACTATTTCATTTCTTTAGCTAAGGAAAAAAATATTAAATTTATAGTCTCCATTCTCACATCACATTGTCATACTGTGTGAGAGCTCTTAGAATCAATCCCACTCAACAGCTCCCCTCAATAATCACTCAATAAAATTAGACTTTTAGAATTAGAAAGGATCTGAAAAGTAGTTTTATTTGATTCTTATGAGATAGATAGATCTCTATAAACTATGTTGAATTTTCTTATAAAATATTTAGTATTAAAAATTTTAAGTACTTTCTATTAAGTAAAAGATTACCAATTTAAGTATAAATCATTTATACAACATGCATTCATTCCTGTGGAAATGCTTCTTTATAAATATCCTATGTTCTTTCCATTTGTGCTTATTTTTACACTTACCTTAGATTTTATTTGAGAGAGAGAATGAGAGAGGGAGGGAGGGAAGGAGGAAGGGAGGGATAGAGGGAGAGAGGGGAGAGAGAGAGAGAGAGAGAGAGAGAGAGAGAGAGAGAGAGATATCTTGGAACCCAGTTTTAAAAAAAATATCTGTCTGACTTATCTGTTTCATGCGAATTTAAGTCAAGGTGGAGGGGGGTTTCGTGGACAGGACCCAGAAATTCTCATTTTCAAACTTGCTTTCTCCGAAGATGGGATGGCTTTCCAGTTCCTTTGGCAACCTCTCAGCCCCACTGCAATGGTTCGCAATTAATGACCCAGAACCAAGAGTTGATTATCAACATAGTGAAGGGGAGGGTTTCGAAGAGCAAGGAGGGCTAATCACATGGAGGGGGAGTGAATGGAAATTGGCAGGGTGACTTTCAACCTTCAACAGTCGCCCTGGAGTGCTGTGGTGAAGAACCAAGAGCATTACTCCTTTTCTGATGGAGAAGAGGACTTATTGGGTCACCAGCAATCTGCCTTTGATCCTCTTCAAAGTCAAGTTTCTCACCATTGTCTAGAAAAATACCTAATTCAGTGGACGGATGTGTCCTCCTTAAACGTCTTCCTTTTGGGGGCAGTGGGAGAAAGTTAAAGACATATAAAAAGGATTGATAGTAGAAGGCAAGAAAAGAAGACAAAGGGAAGCAAATGTGGAGACCCTAAAATAGGAATAGAGAAAAAAGCCAGGATGAAAGGGAAGGGAAAGACCACAGAAAATAAAAGCCCAGGGGAGTAAAAAGAGAGAAAGAGAAAAAAAGGAAAAACACATTTATTGCTGAGAGAAGTTTCTCTCCTTAAGTCTTCTAGGTCAAGAAGTCAGACATGGCACAGAGCGCGGAAAGGAGGTAACAGACCCCTGCAGTGTGTGATCCTGGAGAAGCAGGAATTCAGTCCAATGGGAATACGAACCCCTGCTGTGATGGCTTCTGTCCTGGTGTGCTTCATGCGGGTGAGTTGCGGAAACGCAGGGATAAAGCTTTTGTTTGTTTGTTTCTCCGATAAATCAACTCTCAGAAGAACCTGGGGGGGGGGAAATGAAGGACGGGAAAGACAGCTATAGAACCAAGGGGGTAGTGGGAAATGAATAACTAGAACGTTTTCTTAGTATGATGGGGTTACATAGTGCAGGAGGGACAAATGACAACATCAGTGAAAAGGGGGACAGAAATTAGGGCAATCATAGATACAAGTAGAATGGTTATGGCAATTAAGAAGAGCCACTTATGTGTGTTTCTATCTTTTAGCGTCTTATCACCCATCCTTCAAATTCCCAAGTAAACGATCAAACCTAGCTATGTCATTCCCCTAAAGGGAGTTTCTGACATCAGCCCTGATACTATTCTTGAAGTTTACAGGTGCCTCCAGATCAGAAATAAGTCAAAAGAGGGAAAATTCTTTTAAAATACTTTGGATAGTTTATATCTCCCCACTAAAAATCAGAAGCCCCTGAGTAACTAACCCATTAGCTGGAAAAGGGGTCATGGACTGAGGGATTCTGGCCAACTGTCAAGGGGAAGTTTGCACAGATATGAAATCTATAAGAAGAAGAGCAAATGAAGAAACTGGCTCGTCAGGTTCCTGCACATCTCCTAGCAGGGTGTGGGCTGTTTCACTTCCTATGTACCAGTTAAATTAATGTCTGAAAACCCATTTCTTTTTCTTGTATTTTCTTTTTACTTCCTCTTCTTTCCTTGGCCTTCCCATCCCTTCTTTTCTCTTTTTTCCTCTTTTTGCAATGGTCCTGAAAGAGGTATTTTATCTGCTGAGTACTTTAGGTGATTCTAGCCTTTAGTTCACCTAGAGAGGTTTTTGAAGGAGAAAGTCAACTATAATATAAGATAGAAGAAGGAGTGGAAGGTTTATTTACTAGAAGGTTTATTTGAAGAGAATTGATAGGAATTGTCACGGGGGGCGTTAGAGCAGATTTGTCCTTGATTCTATTAATTCATTCAACACATATATATGATTGAGTTTGATTTGAATTATGGCCAAATCAATAGATGTGTGCAGTTGGTCGTGCTACTTAAACGCCTATGCCTTAGCTCCTTAGTCATTTAAAATAAAGTTAAATATACCCATTTACATGGTTATTTTGATGAAATGATATGACATATTAAAAGTTCTTAACAGTCTGACTGGTATATAGTAGCTATTCAATAAATAAGTCCCCCCACTGCCCTTCTTCCCTTGTTTGGTGAGTTGTTGATGTGCTGAGGGAGTGAAAAAGAACAGTGAGGTTTGCACTGGGAAAGAACTAAGAAGGCAATAACAATATCCTGAGGGACAGATCAGGGAATTTCAAGGACAAAAAAGTTGATATGTTTCCTGTCATTTACAAAAGCAGTGATGGCCACCCATCACCAAAAAAGAAAAAAAAAAAAGGAGGAAAGAAGGTAGGAGGGAGAGAAACAGAGAGAGAGAGAGAGAGAGAGAGAGAGAGAGAGAGAGAGAGAGAGAGAGAGACCAGATTAGACATTTGTTGTTCCAAGTTCCCCACTTCAAAGGTAGTGCTGAATAGGCATGGGAGAGATGAAATCACAGTCCTAACCATGGCTAACCTTATGACCTTGTCCTGATACCTACCCTGCTCTCACTAATTGATCTAACTGAGCACAGTCATGAGGGATGATAGATAGACAGCTGAGCTGAGCAGATGAGACAATTTCCCTGTCTCAGACTCTTTCCCTTCCTACAGCTTCCTTGGGCAAGATGTGAGGAGAACTGTGTCAGTCCTGAACAGTAAGTATCTGAGAATCCAAATGGGGAGGAAGGCGAGACAGACAAAAACATCAATACACAAAACAGGGGCAAGATGTCATCAGATATCTGTGACTTCCTTTATTTCTACTTAAATGGGCATCAACTCAATCCACTTGTCTCACAGAAATAAAGACACACATTTGTGTCATTCTAAGAACTCAAAATAACACTGCTGACAGCATTTTTTCCAAAGCCAATCTTCCTATCAAAGCAGCAGATTTAATCTCAATTTGTGCAATCATAGAGATTTGCAGCAGACTTTCTTACACATGTTTCTCAGTGACTCATCAAGACAGACTGGATTCAGTAAATATCTTAGCCACAAGCAGATATATTTGGGTGCTTTCCAAGGGTGAATCACTACTTCATTTTGAAAAGCATTTTCTGTATTTTTTAGGACATGATAATATTTATTGCAGACTTCATTTAGCTATCACTTTGACGTAATTTTCCCTTAATCTAAACCTGCCACAATTAGGTCTTATGTAGACACAGTGGACATAAAGATAAAAAGGGAAGAGATTCATGCCACTTGGAGGTAAACTAGTAAAAAAAAAAAAAAAAAAAAGAAGGGACGGTTTGAATGAAAGACTTGCTCAGGCTTAAGGAAAACACATATTTAGCCACGAGAAGGGTTTCCCGGGTTTCCCAATAGCCAAGTATGTTACACCCAGGGGAAATGGTGATGGCCTTGGTTCCTTGTCACACGTTCTCTGAGGTTTTAGACACCTACCACCACGGAAATGTCCTTTTGAATAAAATCAGGATCATAATGCTGTTGAACTAGAAGGGGCTTTGAAAAAAATGAGGGATGTGAGAAATCCTAGAGGAGACACTGCTCAGTGAAAAAGCAAGCTGTATATTCTACAACTGTTCAAAGAAAGAAAGAATACAGGAGTGAGTTTGACTAGATCAACAGATCAGGAAGTATTATTAAATTTGCTCATCTTCAAAGATACACAAATATTCTCTTTTTCCTCCCCTTGCCACTCCCAAGCTCAGCCCACACTCCTTCTCCCACGTGATCCATATTTTTTTTATCCCTATAGAGAAAATTTATAATTTCCCTAGTTAATTCAGAATATTTCATTAGCTTTCATTATGATAAAGATGGTTTCTGCATTTTTCCCCCTCTTTTTGTGTGGCCTCAGCAGATATGTATATCAGTTTTGATTCCAGATGTGAAAATTTAGGACCCTTTTTATGGTGGGAGTTTTTACAGTTTTATGGCGGCCTTTTTTGCAACAACTTGCAAAACAGAAATTACAAACTTCATTGTATTGCTTTCATGCTTATAACAAAATTTTTTTTATAGTTATATTTTATTGACCTCAAATATATACAAACCTTAACTTTCACATCCATTTTTAAACTCACTCTTTGTAAATTTGCATTGGTAGTTCTTTCTTGGTAATTGTCACCATAACTGTTTACAATGGTCATGGTTACATTTTCTATTAACACTATTTCATGATCACTACTTTAGTCTGTCTTATGATTTACACAATGCCATCTATAGTATATAACACTAATCAAGGCATCCCGTTTCACAATAAATTCAGCTGGTTACATTGAAGTTAATATAACCTGTGATGCTTTTATTAAAACAAGGTATCATCTTATTGTAACTCATTCTGATTCTGAAATCATAATAGATACTGACTATATTTTTATTGCAAACATTTTTATTCTTTCTTCATAGTTGCCTGACCACAGATTGGGTACATCTCTGGTATATATGGTAAGTTTCAGCTTTAATACCCAGAAAGACATTTAAAACGGACTTCATTTTTCTCAGGTTTCACTTATTTATTTTTTAGTATTTTCAGTTTTTAAATATTTGACAGTAGAGGAAAAAAATGTATGAAACAGCCAGTCTACTTACCTAGTGTCTCATGGAGTAAAGTTTATTTACACCATCACTTCTCTATGTGACAATATGCCAGGATTTCCTATTTCAATACCACCTCTTCGACCAACATGAATAGATTATTGGCTACTTTCTCAGGTTCAGCTTTGGAAATATCCACATCGAGGGGATTACTTCAGTACAGTAAAAAACAGCCCCTCCAAACCACATTAAATCTCTTACCAATTGTTCTAATAAACTGACTACTCTTGCTGACAAAATAAGGAAGTAGATATGTGAAGTGAAAGCCTTGGGGTTAAAGTCTTATAATAGTCTATAAAATATTCACACAATAATCAAAATGCAGACATTGAAGACTGATTATGCCGAAGCTGGGCAACAAAGCAGACCCCAGAGCTCTCACTGTCCCCGGGCTCCTTGCAGGTTGCTGGTGGTGATTGGCGCTTTGCTTCTACTGTGTGGCTTGACTTCTGTGTGCTTCCGCTGCTGCCTGAGCCGCCAGCAAAACGGGGAAGACGAGGACCGGCCCCCCTGTGAAGTGACAGTCATCGCTTTTGATCATGACAGCACTCTCCAAAGCACGATCACTTGTGAGTACACTGGCATTAGGCGTGGGAGGTGAACCAAGGCTTCAACAAACTGTTAGGATGGTACAACGGTATAAAAACGTTGACTGAATAATATTAAAGATTCCAGAGCTCCGGGTAGTTTTAATTTCCAGAAGCCGGATAGGGCGATGACCCGGGCTGTCACAAATACTGCAGTTTCAAATATTGGTCTGACTGATGATAGAGTGAAGGAAGAAATGAAATGTTGGAGACAACACTGGAAATGATTTGCTGGAAGAATTACCCAGATCACAAATAGTTATTTTGATAAAATTATTTTAAACCCTGAGCATATTCCGTTTTCAAGAATGTTTTGCATTTTGTAAAAAATCGACATTTTCTATCTATACTCTTTTATATCTTTAGAGAAACGTGTTGTGTGTACTTTCAGTTCTTTATTCTCCAAGTCTTGATACACTAAATATTAGCCCCAACATACCCTTGATGGTCCGTCATGAGACACCTTATTTCCTTCTGTTCTCTTTATATTCTTTCCTAAAATTGGAGAGTAATGACCAGGCAGAACAGCAGGTGGCAACACACTGCGGTATTTATTTCACGAAGAGAACAATATAGTGTGTTGTTTTTTTTCATCTTCCCTGCCTCTCTGTTCTCACTCTCATTTTTGAGAAAAGATGAACAAGGCAGAAATAAATATTTCTAAGGAGTCAGTGGGTTCGTGTAGAGGGTTCCTAAATCTATGAAGGGGGAAGGACAGGGCTGTGAGATACGGGAACACAATTTAGATTATTTGAGGATACCAGAGAAGAAAATGAAGTTGGTTTCTAAACAAGCTCCACAGGATTTTCGTAACATTTGTGGCAGAGAGCTGGCAATGTGTTTGGGCACTTGTTGAAAGTAAAAGGAAATTTAGTGTGTTGTAAGTCTGATTTCTGAGGATGCCACCTTTACTTGAGCCAGTTCCTTCTTCCCTCACCAGCCCTGCAGTCAGTGTTTGGCCCTGCGGCTCGGAGAATCCTGGCAGTGGCCCACTCCCACGGCTCCCTGGGTCAGCTGCCCTCCCCGTCCGACACCCTCCCCGGGTATGAGGAAGCTCTTCACATGAGTCGCTTCACCGTAGCAAGATGTGGGCAGAAAGCACCTGACCTACCCCCAGTTCCAGAAGAAAAGCAGCTGCCTCCACTGGGGAAAGAGGCTCCTCAAGTAGAACACTCTTCAAACTGATGGGAACCCTGGTTTTATAAGTGGGGTGAGGGTATCCCCAGAGTCGGTGAAGACAGACAAATGGAACAATTTTGTCTAACTTTCAGAAGATTTAGGATGACATCTAAACATCGTTCGGTGGAAAAGATGGGTTCCAACTCATTTCCAGCAGCATGTATTTTCTGATATGGAATGCTCTAATAGAGAGCTCTCATTCTTTATCCAATAGCCTAAATTTGTATCTAACCTCTAGCAATGCTGATTACTACTGAACCAGGAGAGCATCAAAGGCTTCTGCAAATTCCTTCAGCTCTTGAGTTCCTTTACCCATGTGATACTGCACGTTGCTCTTCTCTGCCAGCTAATAGATAATAATACACTTGAGGAGAAAGGCAGCCATGAATATAATTCACCAAATTCACACTTCCTCTAAAGAGAACACCCACTTTTATACTGAATGATGATGATAATCTTAGACACCATGTAATGCCTACCTGGACATCCAGAACCAGGGGTGGGGTTGCATGTATGGGCTAGGAGGACACAGTATAGCACTGAAGTGCCAAATATCAAGGGCTTTCTTTCACTCTGGTCCTTCCCTCCAGGGGTGTGAGAAATCACATAGAGTGCAGTAACAGTTGTATTCATTTTTCAGTTCCTCTGCCCTGTGAACACACACACACACACACACACACACACACACACACACACACACACACCCTTTTCTAACTCTGAAAGAATAGCATTGCTTTGCTTTTTTTCCTCCTTCCTGCTTTGATCACCTAAAATCAAGTTGTCAGCCATGACAGACACTAGTCTCTAGTGGTGGCCTTTACTGTCCCCTAGTGGAGCCATGGTAGAAAATGCATTCTCCTATTTGAGCCTATCCGCTCACCTCTCCAGTTCCGGCCGCATTAAGTGAACTAAGCCTGGGTGAGATCCTTCCCAAGGCACCATCCAGCTGTGTAACGCTAAGCCGTCCACCTAACATAGTACCTCCAAAATGTACTACTATTGGAAAATTGAAGAAGTAAAGAATATTTGGGGAAAAACTAGTCAGCAGTGGCCTTAGATAAGTCACTGAAATCTTTAAAGCACAGTGTTCTCATCTGTAAGATAGGCGATAATGACACCTCACAAGATTGTTGTGATGATAAAAAATGAGCTAAGTATATATGACAAAGTTTGTAAACTATTATGCACATGTACTTGTTATTCTTGGTATGAACACCTAATGTTCACCTGCCTGTTATGGTTCTGATTTGTCCTTTTGCCGTTACTGCTAAGTCACACTTGAAGTAGCTAGCTTTATTTCATCAATAATATTTGTTAACTGAGGTAAACAGCTAAAGATATGTGATTCCTCTTCATATGTTCTATGTAGAGGTAAGGGGCATTAGAGAAAACTCATTTATTAGAGAATGAGCTCCCGTACTCAGGGAGACGTGACACAGTCCAGGAATGGCTGATGAGTTCAGCACCTCGTTAAATCCATTCTTTGAGGCATCCTCACTCAGCCCAGCCACAGGGAAAATGTTCTGAGTATAACCCGCTGGTGATCTGCATTTATTCTGAGTCATTTATCAAACTGCCTCTGGAAATTGTTGCAATGCAAGGGTTGTTAATAGCACCTGAGGTGGCCTTGTTTTGCCAAATGAATCACTTCATTATCATGCATTCTATGAAATATTCTTGGCTCATTACTCCTTCAAGATACCAGGATCTTAAGTCAAAATGCAAAAGGTATAAAAAGATCTTGGAAGAAATCCTGTTTTATTCTAAAGAGATCTCTCTGCCGCACCTCTCCCTGTCCCTTTGCCCCCTCCTCAGCCAAGTGACGCGTTCACTCTGGTCAGTCTCCCATTTTGTCACGAGCTATTAGCATCCATTTGGCTTCCTTCCTTCTATACTCAATTTGAATTATGTATTGTAAAAAGCAGAAAGAGTACAGAGCTGAAGAAGAAAAAAGTCACATTGTTAAGCCTTGTAATAAGTAATTCAGACACTGAACTTGAAGACAATCAGAAGCTACTTAATGTGTTTTTAGCAGGAGAGTGTGCCACAATGTGATCAACTTTGTAGAGAGATACTCTGATGAAAGTCTGAGGTCTTGGCTGAAGTGTGAAGAAGGCAGGACTTCATTCTATTTAGGAGCATACTGTAAACATCTTGGTTAAAAGTGATGAGAGCCTGAAAATAAACATGGGGATGGTGATGAAATGGACGTTATTCCTTCTCTTTTTTTTCAACAGAATTCTTAGCTGTGCTCCAATTGAAAAATAAATAACAAAATGGTTAGGATAGTGGATTTCTACACCATTGTTCTCTAGATTTTTTTCTCTAATGTTAAGCAGTAGTGATTCTTTACCACCTCTTTCTCAGCCCCAATGACCCATTGTGTATAGACCTGCAACTTGGCAGTGAAGCTGCACGACGACCCGTCCTGGACAGCTTACTTTGGGTAGCCTGGGGGGTGATTACACTGGGCAAAAAACCACCTTTTCCATCGCTTTTTACTTGCCAAAACCGAAACTCCTGCAAACAATCTGGGCTGTGTCTAGTCTGATAACGATATCTGAAAGGAAGTGTCAATATCAATAGCAGGAAATAACTCTGACAGCACAAAGCTCCTAATCTCTGAGAGACCTGAAAGACCAGCATATATTAGTTTCCACTGGACAATACAGGCTTTCCTTTCTGGGGGAAGATGGGTCTGAGAGGAGATTGGGCTATGATGACTGGTTTTGTCTGTGGTTTGGACACTTGAGTTGGCCTTGTAACTGTGGCCTAGAAGACCCTTATTAGAGGATCTGATGAACACATTACGAGTTTACTTGTACATGGGTATATGAAAATAAAGCAAACATGGGATTTATGTAACCAATTTAAGAGACAGAAGAGAAAATTGCAAAGTCTGGGAGCAGTGAATTTTGGTTTCTTTTCCTTGGGTAAGCAAATTGGCTGGAAAGCAATAAAGAGGCCATGATGGGAAGTCTGCCCTTGAGCAAACTGACAGAAAACAATTTCAGTGACTTATGGATTGAACAAGATACACTGAGAGTTCAACTGTGGAAAACGTTTTACATGCTGTCTCTGAGTGATGTTGGTCAATGGTCTTCTGTTGACACCTTCACCTTGGTTAAGCCAGATTTACACTGTTTTCCACTTCAGAATTCCTTATAACTTTGAGTTTGGAAAGGGTGGCATGAAAGTGGTAGTGTTTGAGTTGAAACCTGACTGATGATAGAATTTTAAACATCAAATAGACAGTATAAGAGCATTTTCTGTCTATGAGCAAGGATACAAATAATGAGAATGTGAGTCATGGAGAATGTTAAAAATTTCAAGAGTGATATAATAAGAATGAATCTAGAAAGATAGGTTGGCATCTTTTTATGGAAGGCATTACATAGGAGCTTAAGCAGTTTGATCTTTATGCTATAGTCTATGAAAACCATTATAAGTTTTTGAAGAGGGAAAGAGATCATGTAAATTGTATGATGCTTTGGCTGTCTCTAGAGGATGAATAAAAGAAGTGACATGTAGAAGACAGGGAGACCATTATGGCTAGTGAACTATTCCACAGAGAATACGTGTACTTTTTCAATTTCTTTCATAAAAGCTTAGTTATAGGCAAAGTTATGAAAGAAGGCAGTCTCAATTTACACCTCTTTATTTCAGCTTCATGGCAGTCATGCTTTAATTGTTTATGTTGCCCTTTGGCTATTACTATCCTTGATTGACAAATGATATCAATGTTCCAACTCCCTAGACCTTTCTTGAGTACCAGTTTGTATATCAAACTTGCCTACACAGACTCTCTCTTGTACTCCCCTTTTGCACTAGATAGAACCTGCTCTCGTATATGATGTTAATGCTAATTACTATAGGTAGTAAAGTTGAATACTACTCTTTCCAACTCTCAAAAGGGTTGTAAATCCACACTCGGTAAATACTAAAGTAGATGAATACACAGCCAATTCAAAAGGGACAAAAGTTCATCTAAAGCCAAACAAATGGTAAGTAATCATAGCCACTTGAATGCCTACAGTGCACCGTTTAATTCTCCAAAGTATGTGTTTCCTTTTGTCAGCTTTGGAGGCTGAATTGCAGAGAAGTGATGTAACTTTCAGGGATCTGAATGTCTGAGTTGGTTTTATACTCAACTTCTGCAGACTTGAAACACCAAACAGAAAAACCGTTTGCTCTTATCTTTAAACTTGATTTTATTCCTTTTAATCAAATGTAAGCATTCATAAAGAGTAAAAAATCAAAGAGCTCTGTAAGGCGAAGAAAAATAGCACCTTCCCACTATACATGTAAATGTACATATACTCTCTACTTTGTATCTGATTTTGTAAAATCTACATTTCAACAAATACTTTACATATATTGCTATTCTTGATTTTTTTATTTTCAGTTTTGGAGCATCATCTATTGACTTGCCATTATAGAAAAAACAAAATTTAGCCCCTTTTCATTACCATGATCCCTACCTTTGCTACCATGACAGATCTGAATATTTCTTGTGCCTCCTATCTTGTAAACATAGTTATATCATAATTTTAATTAGATGAGTATAATGGGTGGCAGCAAAAAGAGTAGTAACGAATAAGAGCCTGAAACCAGGCTTTTGGGCTTTTTCCTTACTCCTTGTGCAATCATGGTGTAGTGATTTAATCATTTTTAAGTTGTAAAATGATGATAAAATAAGTACATACTCATATACATTTTATTATGTGCGGATTATGGGGGTTAATGCATATACACATACTATACATAAAGCATGTATATCAAAGCCTCTTTCCTTTTTGCATGTCTGTCTCTTTGTCCAAATGTTCCCCTTTTTAGAAGGACACCAGTTATATCGGATTAAGGCCTACCCTAATGGCCTCATCTTCTGATCATCTGCAAAGACCCTATTTCTAAAGTCACATTTACAGATACTGGGGGTTATGACTTTGACATTTCTTTGGGGGACATAATTCAACCTAGTGGAGTTTCAGGAGACAACAAAGGCAAATATATCTTTTTCAATCCACCATCTTAAATCAGAAGTCTTCCTTTCGCTTTCTGGACTATGACATACTACGCTTTTTTTGAGTATTCACTTTGTATCCAAAGCACTGAGGATATAAATACAAGTAATATGTCACCAAATAGCACACAGACTACACGAAACTAGGGACTTAAATGCCATTAGAACTCCCTCCAACACTATCTTTAGATTTATCTCTATCCCTGTCTATATATCTTGAGTCCCTGACTGTCATCTTCTTTATCTCTCTTATCTTGGACTGGTGCATTTAGGCTGAAAATTTGGACTTCATGAAACTAAAACAGTCACTACTGTAAGCCCCTGATCGTACATCATTGAAATGTCATCGTCAAAAAAGGGGCTTATTGGGCCGGCCGAGTAGCACAATGGTTAAGAGCTGGCTTGGGACACCAGAGGGCCTCGGTTCGGATCCCACATATGAGGGCCAGTGACACTGCCCTCCACAGCTAAGATGCTGAACAACAGCTCAACCTGNAGTGGGTTGCCATGGGCTACCATATGTAGCCAGCAGCCAGCGTGAGCGGCCAGCAGCCGCAGTGAGCAGCCGTCCAGAAGCCAGCAACTGATCTGCCTCGCCCGGGAAGAGCGCAATGATGGTGCCAATTTGGGCCAGTGAAGCAACGTCCTCCATAACTAGACTGAAGAACAAAAGGATAGCAACTTGTCTGTTCCCATCCCCCCAAGCCCTCAATAAAAATCTTTAAAAAAAAAAAGAAAAAAAAGGGGCTTATTTCTCTAGCCTCATATTTTGTACTCTATGTTACAGGCATATTAAGTTACTTAAATTACTTCTTTCCCTATACATATTGCCCTTGTTTCTGGTCATTGGATATTATCAAAGGCTCTTCCTGTAAAACATTTTCTCTTATTTTTTTTTTTCTGTCTAATTCCTGTGAAACATTTGGGTCTTCATTCAGGCATCACCTTCTCGGAATCAATTTTTATCCCATTTTCTTCTGTATCCGTCAATGTGCTCTGAAAGCATTGTGTGTTTATCTTTGTCATAGGACATATAATGATGTATTGTTCATTAGATAATACCATGTCCATTACTTCTAAATTTTTTTTTTTTTTTAGAGGGGGTAGGTATACATGGCTTTGTAGAAACTACTCCTTTCACACTCATACTGCAGAGTTCTTCTAGTGGGATCCACCAAGCAGACTCTCACTGCCTTGACCTTTGAGAAGGCCAGGTGACTTATAAAAGACTAATTGGAATCTTTCCTTAGGATTTCTCACATACGAACTAAGAGAATATTATCTTTTGTGTAGTATTTTAAATATTATGCTGAGAATACAGGTAGAGAGCAAACTTTGAAAGTTGACAGATTGGGTATTCTACCATAAAGTGCTAGCATTTAGAAAAGCCTTGAGGCAGAAAGATTGAAATTTCATCTCCAAACTATTTTTCATATATAAATTGCCACCGTTCTTAGGTATTTTTAAAAGTTAAAATCAGTATTTTCAACTAGCTATGATTGTTTCCAGTAGATGTGATCATAGAACAACAGTCTTAAAATATTAATCTCCATCATAATTCCTTTTCTCAACTGGTTGTTAAGGTACTTCTTTGAGAGATTTAGCTATATTTGGATCAAAGCTAAAATGAGCTGAAAATTTCAATTTAAAAATAATAAAAATTATAAACATATAATGTGATAATTTCTGGATTTTCCCACATAAAAAGAATTGAAAGGTGCCATGGAGAAAAATAATTAACATCAAGAGGTAGGGTTATGTAATTCATTTTCCTTGTTTCAATAATGAAACTCAGTTTCTTTTATGTGGGTTTGTTTTTAAATCCCAGACACTGAGACCTTGATAAAAGATAGGTGATAGGGGCTGCCATTTTCTAACATACTTTTCAGAACTCCCTTGTTTTGGGCAACCCAGCCGATCCTCACCCTTATCTTTCACAATTTCCTCTGTCCCCCACCATAGGTTCCTGGAATCTCTGCCAGGGGCAGTGGGTGGAAAGGCCTGAGTCCTTTTGATTCTTGGTGGAGAAAGGGGAGGGCCAGAGGGAGATAACACTGGCACCTGGCCCACAAATCAGTGTCCACTTCCCGTTTTCAGGTGGCACTTTCTATTCACATTGTTGATACTTAACCAGTAGAGCTATTTATCCTTCAGGTGAATTTTTGCATAAGAAAAAAGAATCATTGAGAACTACTGAGTTAATCACTTAGATCACTTGATATTTTCTTTTCCATAAGACAGGCCCAACCTCTGCGTTAACAGGAGAAAGTGAATCATTTCTATATTTGAACAGGCGTGAAGCCCTTAGAAGACTTGACACCACTTCTCTGGTCCTTGATTACATCTGATGCCCTTTACCTAATAGGTCTTTTCAAATTCCTGAGTCACGTTTTGTTTACGTTCCTGCTCCAGGAACAAACTGCAATTGCTGCATGGACCCAAACAAAATGACGCCAACGTGGTGAAGGAAGGGTCACGGTCAGAGGAAGCCAGCCTCGCTCCCGAGGTACCCGGAGGGCACTATTGAAGGAGAAAAGGGCAAAATGCAAGCGCCGGACACTTTTGCACTGGCCAAATAAACCCCCGGACCCTTACCCTTCCTTGACCCAGGCTACAGATCCCAGCAAACTGGAAAAAGCTGGATTTTTCTCCCTGTGCGTTTGTTTTTGGGCCCAACCAAGAAACAGCGAGGGAGAGGGAAAAAGACATCTTTAGAAAATTTTCTGCTTTCAAACCACCTTTAATGTCACATTATCAATAAAATAAGAACTAAAAACTGTTCCCATTGTCAATGAACTCTGTTCAGGGAAAGTTTAGATAGAAAGAGAATACGTTGACGTCCACAGAGTCTGTCCACCCCCTCCCCGAGCGGTCCACAACGCGGGGGGCGGGGCGAAGGGCGGGACGTCGTGACGTCATAATACCAACGCGCCGCCGTGTTGTTATTGTGTTCCCAGCTCTAGGGAAAAAGCCGCTGGGAATTCTTCACCTGGCCATACCCCACCTGCGGACGAGGCACCCGAGATCCCTTCGAAAGCTCTACCAAGCAGCGCTGCGACGGGAGCTGCCACCTCTGAAGCGATTCCGAGACAGATTAAAATTTGGCGGTGGGAAGCAAGCCCCGAGAGACGCAATCATCAGCGAGGGAGGCAGGCCCCGTCCGGGGATCTTAGAAACCCTGCGGTTCATCATGAAGTTCCAGTATAAGGAGGACCATCCATTTGAGTATCGGAAAAAGGAAGGAGAAAAGATCCGGAAGAAATACCCCGATAGGGTCCCTGTGAGTGGAAGGAGAGTGGGAAGGGGGAGGGGAGGGGAAACCGGGGGGCGGGGGAGTCGCGATGGCCGCCCTAAGGCACAGAAATGACGCTGGTCCCTAAAACTGCTCAGCCCTGAACGGCCTTCGCTGCGAGGCGAGCCGGTGGGCTGGGCGTCCTGACTGCGGACCTTGTAAAGCCCGTAGCCCCGGGGCCCGCGCCCGTCGGCCGAGCCGGCCGCTGCCTCCGAGCGGAGCCTGCGTTTGAATGACTCAGCAGCATTCAGAGGCTGCTGAGGCTGGGATGTGCTCGAGCCGTGGCTCTTCCGTGCGGGCAGGCTTAGGTCGGGACCGCACACATGCTGCCTTTTTGAGACCGCAGGGACGTTTTTCTGGGGATAACGGATGCAGCGGTTTGCGCCCATCGATTCCCGGTTCTCCCTTAATCAAGTGGACGTTGGCCCTCGTAGCCTTGGCTTTGGGAGGGAAAGGGTGGGAAGCCAAGTGGGTCCTTGTATCCTGTGAGGATTGGGAGTTGGGGTGGGGGGGGGAGTGGGTGCCACGAGACGGCACTGGCCCAGAAAACAAGGTCACGTTCTCTGCGCAACAGCCGGGTTGCCTCATCCTTCTTGGCACCGGCGGCGTATGTGGGGGCAGCCGGCCTGCCTCCGGTACCTCGTGCCTGATCAGATTGTACCTGGGCACAATCAAGAAGGACGGAGGCCTTTTTCCCTCTCCGTTTGGAACCCCGGGTTATGTAATTGGATCTCGTGTAGGCAGTGTGGAGGAACCGAGAAGAAATATTAAGGTATCTTTCTGCATCCGGGCGTTTTTCCCATCACCCCTCCCCCGCCACTCGCCTGGTTGTCCTCTCATGTAGGCTGCGCAGCCGAATTGGAAGGCAGAAAAGACTTCTAAGTGTGGTAGAGGGAGCAACAGTCGTTGAATTTTGGAAATGGAGGAGCAGAGACTTTAAGATTGTACTCTGTATCTGCAGGCAGGGACCATTAAGACCATTAAGATAAATGTTACAAATATTGTACAGCTAAAGGAATTGCGAATGATCTGATGTGCTTTCTTGACCCGCAGGCACTCTTTGGGCCTCCTCTCCAATCCTTAATCTGTCACAGTCTCACAGGTACCAGAAGCAACCTGGGCCTTAGGCCAGCCATTAAACCCCTTGGCAGTCCTATTCCTATAAGGAAATGGAGACTTGAGGGCTGGTTCCATTCATTCCCTGGGAATTGCACAAAGAAAAGATCCTTCACTCATTACTTTCCTGGTCCCTGGACCTTGAATGACTGCTATAAAAGTTACTCCCAATTCTGGTGACGTTCTACTCTATTATAATAACATTTAAAAGTGACAAGTGACTTTTATTGATAGCTTACCGTGCACCTGGGTGTATCCTGAGGGCTGTGTCTATAATCATTCACTTAACCCTCACACCATTATAATCCCCATTCTACAGATGAAGGCCCAGAAACACAGAGAAATGAAGTAACTTCTTAAAGGTTTCACATGGCTGGTCTGTGGCAGACTCCGGATTGTAGCCCGTAGGCTATAATATTTCTCAATTTCTGATGCAGTTCTTTTAGACAGAATTAAGTGTGCACTGTGTACCTCACACTGTTAGTCACTGGAAATAGAGAAATAAACTCTTGCTTCCCTTAAGAGTTCACAAAGTAGTATGAGGCTCTGTTCCAGCAGCTTTGTGTAAGTTACAAACTCTGAAATGTACCTGTTCCTAAATCTAGTTAAAATTCCCATCGGTTTCCTTAAAACCAAACCCTTCCCCATTTCAATCATTTACATGCATTCATCCAGAATAGTTCAGCTAATCACCTCACCCCCACACTTCTTTTCCTGCTCACAGTTTGGTGTTAAATGTTTAACGAAACTGTATAATTTGTAAACTATTAGGACCATCAGTCAGATCTCATGATCCCTCCAGTTACGTTTTAACCAGTGATAAGCCTTCCACCTGCTCCTTAGGTACGCAGCCTCTGGCCTTCTTCCCAGTTGTGACGCAGAAGAAGAGCTCTGCGCTCTTGAGTTCTGAGGTTTGATTCCAGTTCCAGGTAGAATCCTTAATCTCGCTGTGCTAAAGTGTCCTGTTTACAAAAAAGAGGGTTAGAGTAAATGATTTTCAAAGCCCCTTTCAGCTGGACCATTGGTGGTAAAGCAATTGTGACTGTTCACATAACTCAAGCTTAACCCCAACATTATCTCTAGAGCTGCCATGCCTCAATAGGTGTGCTTGTGCCTTGAGAGAGGAGGGTTTCATGCCTGTTGCAATGATCTTAATAGCTACAATGTATTGAAAATCTGCAACATAGCAGGAAACTGCTAGGAACAGATTGTCTATTTTTTTTTTTTTTTAAATTCATGAACAGCCCTAAGAATCATTAGCCAAGTTTCGTTTCACAGAAAAACGGAGAACCAGACTGGTAAAGCAGCTAGCCCAGGGCCCACTGTGAGTCTAGTTGGGATTCCTGAAAACCAAAGTAGTTTCTGGTAAACCAGGGCCTAAATGACTACCCCTCCCCTTCCTGTTCCCCTCCAAATCCCTCCTCCCCCGTGGATGTTTTCTTTGCAGTTGGCTTTATGTGCTCTCTTTCTGCTCTCTTCTTATGGTTTCCCAACTCTTGACTGGAGCCGGAACTGCCAGGTCTCAGCTCCTGCTAGACACAGTGCTGGGTCTCCGGCTTCCCTTTGGTTTCATAACCTGCTTCCTCCTGGTCATCCTCACTGTCGGGCCTTCTCCTGGTCTCTTCCTGAAGCTCTTCTACTTCTTCTTTTGAATTTTTGATTCTCATATCACTACTCCAGTTTTTAATTTTAAGTGTGATCATGGTTCCTCTGGTCTTCTGGTATAGGATTCTTTTTCTCTGTAAACACAAAATAAATTTTTCACTCTTTTAACTTGTCCCCTTATATTTAAAAGTTTCAAACCTTTCCCTCTAAGCCAATCCTTATATTTAGATAGTTCTGTATAATTTAAGAGCATTTTCACATACAGTTTTATGGATTACTCAAGTTCATGGTTTTAGTGCCATGACTTTGTAAAACGTGTTGGAAAGTTATCTTTTTACTCATTGGAATGCTGAAGCTCAGAGAGGTCAAGTGTCCTCTTGAAGGTTACACAGCTACTAAGGATATTTGTCCGCTGTTTATTTCTGTGTCTTTAACTTTTCTATACTTCGCATCATCTACGATGATGATACTTTCTAAACTAAAAATATAAAACTCATGATTTTACAAATATGTTCTAAAAATGTATAATTTAAGTTAAATGTGTACTATATAACTTATGTAACAAATCCAAAAATACTAAATATATTTAATATATAGTTTAAATTTAAATATATTATTTAATATTAAAAATTTTAAATATTTATAAATCTCTTATAAATTTACATGTGTAAAAAGTCTTTAATTTTTGCATAGCTTCATCCTTTTCATTACAGAAATATATATATTTAAAACTAGAAGTATTGTAGAAATATTTAATGTAGACATTGAAAATCCCTTGAAATCCTAACAGATAATCAATATTGATAAATGGATTATTGCATTGACATCATATTACAAAATATCATGCTATAAGAGCTGTTTTACTACTGACTTTTTTCACTAAATAAAATACTGTCTTGAATGTATTTTTTTGCAGTCATTCTTGCAAATTTTGACAGTAAAATTAAACCATATTATCTATAGCTTTAATAAATGCTATTTATAAGAAAGAATAAAACTAATAGGTGCTCCGGACCATCTGAGGAAACGTGAACAACCTTCTTAATGCTATAATTGCAGAGAAGAAAGCATATATCCTATAGTATACCTTAGCTGTAACTTGGAATTACTTAAAATCAAGGTTCTCTTATTTTTCATCACATGCTCTATCCATCCTCTTGTTACTACATTAATAAGACTACAACCTTACTAAGAAAACCCATTTCCCCATAGATTTTGTAAGGGGTAAAGGAGAGTAAGAAATAGAAATGTTACACTGGGCCTAGACAAACTCACTTCAGCTAGGGCAGCTGTAGGGTGAGGAAGGACAAAAGACGAGTCTGGATTCTGTAGTTTTCATTCCCACTCTCTGCCTCTCCTCCCAGGTGATCGTGGAGAAGGCTCCTAAGGCCAGGGTGCCTGATCTGGACAAGAGGAAGTACCTAGTGCCCTCTGACCTCACTGGTAACGCTCTCCCTTCCCCTGACCCTTGCTCCCATGGCAAAGCATTCCCAGTCCTTCCTGCATGTGTGAGATTGTGAGACTGAGAGGCAGCAGGGTTGAAGAAAGTGGGATTCTCCAGCGAGTTGGGTGATTCAAAAATGGTGACACCATTTTTCCCCATCACCAGTTTCCCCTTACGTGTTTCCCATCCGAGTGCCTTGTTGGATTTAGACACAGCAAAGTGCAAAACATGGAAAGAGAAGATCAGATACTCATCATTTAAACCATTTAAAATTCAGCTTTGTTATTGTGAAACCAGTTTATTCCAAAAGGAAAACCGGACTGGTTTCTTGGAAGGATCACATTTTCGAGATTCTCAGCTGAATACTTTTGTCTCCTCAAGCTACGTTTCTTTCTTACTGTTTTGTAGATAATGTTTGGAATCTCAAAGGATAGATTCGTTCTTCACTTTGGTCCTTAATGGAATAACCAGTGCATCCAGGAGACACTGGAAAAATTTTGTAGATATGTTTGCTCCAGAGTTATTAGATTTGAATACCCGCTTTCCAGAACTTTTTCAGAGTGCCCAGTAAAAGGGAAAGCATTGAACCCCACTCATTGCCCCAACATTGGGATGAGTGATGGTGCTAAGAATTCTGGAGTCCGGAAGACCTCTTCCCACCACTAGTTTGTCTTAGGGTGGGAGTGGGCCTGGAAGTGTGTTTCAGGTCAGATTTAGACAATGATAGGAATATTTCTGTTTGGAAGTACAAGTATACATGCTGTTCCCTCAACGTTGTCCTCAGGCTTTGAGTGGATATGCTAACATTAGGTCTGAAATTGAGTAAAGGAGGGGAAATTCCTATTTTCTAAGAAACTCCTCGGGGGCATGTCAGAGACTATGAGGCTTCTTGGAGTTTTATTTCTACAGCTGTAGGACAGCATTGGGCTCTGTTCAGGTGGTGCGTAAAGGTGGTGCTTGAACGGGAGCAGGTGCAGCAGATTTTGGGGCGATCTTACCCTTTTCTAAAACCTTTCCTCCTTCATCCAGTTGGCCAGTTCTACTTCTTAATTCGGAAGAGGATCCACCTGAGACCTGAGGACGCCTTATTCTTCTTTGTCAACAACACTATTCCTCCCACTAGCGCTACCATGGGCCAGCTGTATGAGGTAATGGTCCTGGTCACAACAATACCGTGAAGTCTGCTCTTGTCCAGCCTTTGTCCCAGTGCATTTTGATAACACACCTGGGAAGTGGGGCAGGAGGTGTTGTCTATCAGGATCCTCTTACACACGGCAGTGTGAGGCTCTGGGAGATTAGATACCACTTGTCCTTTAGAGATGGAGCAGCTACTAGATTCAGTCCCTTTGAATTCTCTTTCCCAGCCCTGCTTTGCTAGTGTCTTAATATTGGATCTCTATTGAAACAGCAGGAAATGGCTTCTGATTGCAGAAATTCCAAAGAAACTGGAATTTAAAATTAAGACAAAATCTTTAAGTTGATTGGTACTAACACATCAACTCAGCTGGACAGAATAATTTATGTGATATCATGCTATGTCACCTACTATTCCTTAGAGGAGTTCATACAAGATGCTGTCTCTTCTGCTTGTGCCCCGTCAGTGAATCAAATAAACTTCTCTAACACTTCTAACTTTTATTCCACAGCACATATTCCCTTTCAGTATATATGTTTTGTTACACCCGTGTCCCCCTGGTTAGAGTGAGCTAGAATGGGCATGCCCTAGTCATGTTTGTATCCCTGATACCCATGTGTATGGTGTTCACCATGAAGGTGTTGTGTTTGTGAACTCAAATTCCAACCACTTCTGCTTACTCTTTGTTTCTCCTTTTAATGGGGTCTAATGATACGTTCAGTGCCTACTTTATAAGGTTCTGTGAGCCTCAGGGTCCTGGAGATAATAAGCATGATTATGTTTTCTAAACTCTCCTCCTGTCTCTTCCCCTAGGACAACCATGAGGAGGACTATTTTCTGTATGTGGCCTACAGTGATGAGAGTGTCTATGGGAAGTGAGTGGTGGAAGCCCACCCGATGGGAGCACCTGGACTCGGGGGGAGGGGGAGGGGTGTGTGGGGGACTCGGGGAAAGAGGGGGGGCTCCCGCCACAGAGGAAACAGAAGGTGAAGACATCTGGAAACACTGCAACGCACACACCGTCATCATATTTTCACCTGCTCAACCATTATTTTTTGCTGCTTCCTCAGCCCAGGGAGAAAGCATGTCAGGACAGAGCTGTTGGATTTGCTTTGCTAGAGGAATGGAGATGATCTAATTTCACGGCATTGCTGTGAATTAATTTTTGTGTGAATTTTTTCCATAGAAGAGTCAGGAGGTGGGCGAGTTGGGGCCAGAGATGATTGTGGACCAGCACCAACTGCCTGCTCTCCCTTCCCTTTGGGCAAGGATTCAGTTTTTGACATTTGCACAAGACAGGTAGGGGAAGGGGATGGGAATGTTGTAGGACTACTGGTGGTGGACCACTCCTGGGGACCAAAAGAGACACTAATTAAAGCGTGGCGCCCGCTCTCGCCTGTCTCCATACCTCCTCCCCCGTCCCAGTCGTCATCTCACACAAACATTGCAGCACCGTCCCAGTGCTGGTGATAGACATCAGACAGAAGTGTAGCCGGAGCTCCCTTACTATCGGAGAAGGGGCCAGGCGTGAAGGACATGGTGGTTATGAAGGTAGTTTCGATAGCAGTAACTGGAATCGATGAAGTAGTGAACATCTCTGTCTCACCTGCTCGCTCTCGCCCCTTGTCCCACACCTACCTTGGACTTGAAGGAGCCGCAACCATTTCCAGTCACAGGTTAAAGGGATGCCTCCCTCCCTGCTGTCCCCTCAGCCTCACACGCACAGAAACGCTCAGCGATGGCCAGCTGCTTCCCTCCTCGGGTTTTTTATTTACTGCAGCTGCTAGTTAGAAAAGTTTGAGTGGGTGACTTGTAGTAATTCATGGGGATTCCGTTGATTCTGATTGTTTTCACTTTAGGGGTTATACGGGTGGGGGGTGGGGAACAGGAATTGCACTCAGACATGACATTTCAGTTCATCTCTGCTAATGAAAACGGTCCTTCCTGTGGGGGAAATCTGTGTGTCAATTTTGTCAGCTGCAGGTTCTTGTATAATGAAGATTATGCTGTCAGGCCAAGGAAATAAAATAATTGCATACCGTAAATCTCACTGTGAGTTCAGAAATGTTGCCTTTATTTAATGTGTATTAGAATACATGGCACGTGGAGTCTCTGAGCTGAAATTTTGAGTGTGGCTGTTAGCAATGATTGCTCACTGATGGTCAGACGTATTCCCGTTTACTGACCAGGACTTCATGTCCAGAGGTGAAGGTCGACGTGGAGCGATGTGTCTGGTGTGTTGGTGGTATGTGCGTGCTTTTCTCCCCTGCAGATGAATGCTTTGTCATTGCTTTATGTGTATTTTCAAAGCTGAAGGTGGTAGGCCACCTACATCAGAATATAGAGGGTGGAATCGTGAAGTGCTTATTAAAAATGCAGATGTCTAGGCCTTAGTGGGATTTAGCCCACTCAGAATCTCAGCATAGGCATCTGTATTTTTAACCTCCTCATTCTGCACGCTGAAGTTTGGAGAGGCATTGCTCTGTATACCTGGTTTTGCAGTAAGTTCCAAGTAGACCTTATTCACTTCTTGGTCAATAGGTTAAAGCAGCAAAGGCACCTGAGTACGGTGGGGTCAGGACAAGCTTGGTGTCTTCTGACCACAACTCTCCTTCATTCACTGGGGGACCAATATGCGGGCAGGCAGTCAGGGAGCAGGCTATGAGACAAAAAACAGATTAGTAGGAAGTCCTTTGAGGAATTTTAAAACCCAACTCTAACTCTCTTATACCTATATCCCCAAGTGGTGTCTACCTTTGTAGAGTTTTATGAAATATATCAGAGTTGCAGGAAAGGAAGTGGATGGTTATAAAAGATCCGTGGCAGGATTCCACCCACCACGAAACTACGCCTGGTGCACTGACGGAGAACGTCCAGTCAGGACTGAGGGAAGGTGAAAGCCCAAGCCCAGCAAGCACCCCATGAAGAAAATTAAGGAAAGCTCTAGGAATTTTTTTTAAAGATTTTTATTGGGGAATTGGGGGAAGGGGAACAGACAAGTTGCTGTCCTTTTGTTCTTCAGTCTAGTTGTGGAGGATGTTGCTTTACTGGCCCAATTTGGCACCATCATTGCGCTCTTCCTGGGCGAGGCAGATCAGTCGCCGGCTTCTGGACGGCCGCTCACTGCGGCTGCTGGCCACACACGGTAGCCCA